CACACGAAGACATAAGGTATATGAATCCCGAAGGCTACTTGCTAGGCATATGCGGTGAATAAATTCACACGAATGCGTCGCTTTCACCGCCACTTAAAACGGGTTCGGAGCTCGGGTTTAGAGCCTTAGATGAAAAAAGACTTTAAAGGCTAAAATCATTGAGAAAACGGTTAGTACAACTAATTACTCGAAAATATAATCAAAAGTAAGTAATAAGGATCGAAATGTTACCTTAAAATTTAAACTTACCCTTTTCATTAAAAAGACAACTGGAAATTACCTTAGCCTGACTCACTTACCTGTGTCCCCAGCGGAGTCGCCAAGCTGTCGTAACCGTCTTTCGGTTGGGCCACGAAATTGGACTTCGACTTGAAGAATATGATTGGAGTCGCCACCGATTATTTATTTTAAAAAAAAAAGGTTAATCGGATACCTTATATCTTACCTGATCTGCGTCTTACCAAAGATATGTCGGATTCGGGAGTCGGTTACGGTCAAGGAAGGATTAGCACCCTTGAACCGCCCTTTCGGTACTACGTAATTTCCAGTTGTTTTTAATTAAGAAAATCGAAAGTTAAAATTTAAAGGTAACGTATGATCCAAAATTACTTACCTCCGATCAATTTGAAAGAGTACCCTTAAAAAGTCGAGAAACGCGTTAAAGGAAAAAAGAAATAAGAGTAAATGAAATAAAGAAAATAGAAGGGAAAAAATAAAAAAAAATGATGAAAAACTAAAAGAGGAATAAAAATATATAATTATTAAGTACAAAATAATAATAATGATAATAAGTAGTAAAATAAAAAAAACGCAATCACACCAAAAGAAAGTAAAAAAGAAAGTCAAGGTTTGGTGAAGTATAACTGTCAGGAAGGAAAAAGACGATAAGGGGTAGGACCGTAGTTAATAAATGAGTGTGATGTATCCCTATAATATAGTAAGAATGAATAAACAAAAAAACATTATGATATATATATATATAATAAATATAATAACGAAAAAAATAATTTAATAAAGTAAAATAATAATAATGTAATATAATATAAATACATGAAAACAAAAAATTAAAGAAGTATAAAATATAAAAATATAATTAAATGTATATATATATGCATATGTTTAAAAAAAAGTAAAAATAAAAAATAAAATACAATAAAAAATATACATCTAATGATAATAATAGTAGCAAAAGAGAAAATATATTTATATACGTTAATAGTAAAATAATAATAGTAGCAAAAGAGAAAATATATTTATATACGTTAATAGTAAAATAATAATAAATATAATAGTTATAAATATATATATATATATGATAACTTTAAAAAACATTAAAATAATATTAGAATAAAAATAATGAATATATATACTTAATAATACGAATTATCAAAAAGAAATAAATAAAAATATAAAAATAATACATAAGGGACCGTTCATCGGCAGCAAACCTCGAAAAAAATTGATTTTTAAAATCCTTTCCTTCCCTCGTTTTAAATATTCTAGTATTTTTCCAAAACGGCCTCGGGGTTGTGTAGATCTAAAAGAAAAGTTTCGAACGACAACCCATTTTCCTCGGCCAAAACTATTTTTTTTTCAAGCACAAAGACGAATAACAACACATGCAAGTGAAGAAAAGAATGCGAAAGGTAAAAGCTTTCACCTTTTATTGCTCCTGAATTGTTTACAATAGCTTCAAAACAATCTATTTGCTCGTATTTTTTTTCTGGTAATTTCGTATGCCCATCGCGTGTTACAATAGTGAGCTACAATGACTATTTATAGTGCTTGTGGATCCTATCTTTAGGAGTTTAAAACATAGCAAAATTCTATCCTATTTTTAGGAGTTGAATCCTAGCAGAATTCTATCCTATTTTTGAGAGTTTGAATCCTAGTAGGACGAAAAAGGTGTGTTGACACTAATATTATAGACATTTATTTTGGGTGTTATGTCTTAAATATATCGTATTGTAATTTAAAAACAATCGAGTTTAAATCTTTAGGTACTATATATATTAGTAATTTATTCGAGAGCGGTCGGGTGAAGACTTTGCTTACCGGAAGAGACGAAAATTTTGTTCCCTAGCGCGCATTAGCATCTGCGACGCGTTTGCCATGGCCAGGCCACCCTTTAAATTCTCAATATTTAAATGTTTTCTAACGACTTTTAGTGTGTATCCACAAAATTTTGGGAAATTTGAAATAGAATGAATGTTTACAGGGTCCTATGTGAGTCAGGGCTGGAGGGGCACCTGCCTAGACCCCAAGATTATAAAATTTCCATATAATTAAAAATAAATAAAATTACCCACTTAGTGATTACCTATTATTTTATTTCTGTTTTGATAATCTAATTACTATCTTTTTAAATCATACATAGAGATGTATTAAGTTTTTATTTTAGTTGCATGCACTGCTAAAAAATTAACAACAATAATGATGCGTTATTTTTAAATGATTTTTTAAATTTCATATTATTTATTCTTTTATTACTTTTTGACAAGATGGAAATTACTTAAAATTCAAAATTTTTAATAATAGTTATTATGAGAGGCTCAATTTATATATTCACTACTAAAATCTCATGAATATTTAGAGCCAATTGTAATCCTTATCACTAACAAAGTTTTTGACAACTAATTAAAGTCATGATTGCTTGTCTAATATATTCATTGCCACCTTTTCCAAAATTTAGGAAAACGAGATTCTTTATCATTCATTATCATTGCTTAATATTTATATTTAATACAATTTTGACTATAAATTTGAAGGTGTAAATAACTTCAAAAAGGAGCTAATTATGTCCAATACTTAAATTTTATTTTATTATTTAAATAAACGTAAAATTATTTGTTTTTATACATCAATTTCGCATTGTCTTGTTTTGATTTATTCTACGTAGACGTAAATTAAAAATATGTTCTGTAAAATACCCGATTCATACGAAATCTTTTTTCTTTGGTCAAGAAATTTAACCTGGGAGGTACAAGGTATCGATCCAAGACATTTAATTTACGTTCTAACTAAATAAAACTGGGTTAAACTACATATTTAATGTCTAAACTATTAATTTTAGTCCATTTTAGTATCTAAATTTTTATTTTTTTTAAAATTATACCTAACTTTTAGTTTTTATTTTGTTTTAGTATCTAGGTGTTAAAAATTAATGGGTGAGCACGAGGCATTTTTTCTATGGGTGAATTGAATCATTCATCATTCAACTTTCTTCTCACTCTTATCTTGGTCACTAAAATTTAATTTTTTTTAAAATTTAATTACCTAACTTTCAAATTACTCCTAATTTAATCACTCTAACTTTCAAATTTAATTTTTTATTTTTTATATAATAATAATAATAATAATAATAATAATAATAATAATAATAATAATAAATGTCACAAAAATTATTAATGAAATAAATTAGAGTGATTAAAATAGAAGCAATTTGAAAGTTGAGTATTTAAATTGAAAATTTGTAATCTTTAGTATCAAAATAGGATTGAGAAAATATTTAAGTAATGAATGATGTAATGTACCCATAAACAAATGCAGATCTGTTAAGTTTTCAACCGCGTATTAAAATGAAAAAAAATAAATATTAAGTATAGTTTTAAAAATACTGAAAGTTTAAATACTAAAATAAACTAATAGTGATAATTTAAATACTAAATATGTAATTTACCCTACATTGTAAGGAACGGAAAGTTTATAAGTCTTTAGCAATTGCAGAAATGATGATTAGAAAACAAAATTAAAATAAGGTAGAATGACGAAAATGCCCTTGGAAGAAGAGGAAAAGGACAAAGCCCGGAGGCTAAATTCCATAAAGAGAAGTTCCGGTGTATGCGGCTTTTTAGGGAAAAAGATGCGCCAAACGCTCCCCTCTGTGGGCGTAATAAGAGCAGCCAGTGTAGGGTATACTATTCTCCATCAGTCAAGTCAGGTGTAGGCTACATGGCATCCGTATCAGTAAAATTGAGAAAAAGGCAGCCCACGTGGATGTACCTATGGATAGATTATTAATTCCGTGAGGGCCTAAAACTACCTATCACTCTAATTCCAACACAATAGCATTAAAGGAAGAAAAAGAGAAATCTTCCATCATTTACATGGGTGGCTAAGGAAATAAATTAAATTTGTTTGGGGAGTGCTAAAGTTTTGAACTCAAAGCTGAGGTCAATTTCAAGAAACATTGTATCTTTCCTCCCAAACAAAAAAATATATATTTATGTCCAATTAAAATCCAAATGTTCAAGAACATGACATGTGGCGTTCTCAAAGTATGAAAATTCCCACGTTCCCACCATGTAATACCATAGGTTCTATGTCTGTTTTTGACAAGGTTTTATTGGTAGCACGTGATAGTTATAATATAACATCTGTTTAAAGTTCTTTTAGGTATAAATAATACATATTTTAAGTCGTTTGAATTTAAAATCTCCAAAAAAAAAATATCTTCATTTACTATAAATTCGTTATATGGATTCTAAAATTAACTCTTAATTGTTCGTTTTTGAATCAAATACATTAACTGATGGAATGAATAAGAGAGACTGATGGTTACGGCGGCGACTGTGACGGAACATCTTAAAATTAAAATATTTGTAAGCAAATTTGAGAGTGCTTTTCATTTTCGTGGGGTTGGTAGATATTGTTGGAATTTTCTGACAACTTGTTTGAACATTGTTGTTGTTACTTGGAAATTTCGGACAATACAGGGACCGAACAGAAGTATAGTTACTGTTCGGTGATTCCTATCCTATCCGTATGTGATCCACATTAATTTCTAGACTCTTAGTCAATGAAAATGGTGTATACACAATTACACATATTTTTTTCCACTAAACAGACAATTTGAACGCATTGTTTGAACTGACGAAAATAGGAAGGGGAAAGGAAGTCATCAAATGGCTTTATATTCAAAGTTACGTGATCAAACGCCAATGCTCCACCACAGCCTTGGGTTTTACTTTTATTAGTTATAAAAACGGAGTGATGGCTTATTTATTATATATAAAAACTCAAAAACCAGGTGGAATTCTTAAAAACAAAGATCAAATTTCATGGCCGCCGAGGAGGAAGTGAAGCTGTTGGGGTTCTGGGTAAGCCCATTCGTGCTTAGGGTGGAATGGGCGCTCAAAATCAAAGGTGTCAAATACGAATACATAGAAGAAGATATCTTCAACAAGACCAGCTTGCTCATGGAATTGAACCCTCTTTATAAGAAAGTCCCGGTGCTTGTTCACCATGGGAAAGCCATTGCCGAATCCTTTGTTATTCTCGAATATATCGATGAAACCTGGAAACATAACCCTTTGCTCCCTCAGGATCCTCACCAGAGAGCAACATCTAGATTCTGGGCAAAATTTGCTGAACAACAGGTTGGTAACGATTAATGAATCACAATATATTGGATATTTTTATTATTTTATTTTCTGGTTTTTATGGATCGTGACGTGTTTTATAGGTTTTTGAAGGTGCATGGAATGCTTTATGTTCCCAAGGAGAAACAAAGCAAAGGGCTCTGCAAGGAACCATAGAATCCATGGAGAAAATAGAGGGGCAAATTGAAGGGAAAGAGCAGTTCCTTGGAGGGGAAAGCATTGGGTATTTGGATATTATATTGGGTTGGGTTTGTTACTATCTTGAGGTGTGGGAGGAAGTTGGATGCATGAAGATCATGGATCCGGTTAAGTTCCCGGCCACCGCTTCCTGGATGAAGAGGATGTTGCAGCACCCGGTGATCAAAGATGGGTGGCCACCGAGGGAGAAGATGATTGTTTACTTCCGCCAGCGTAGCGAAGCTTTAGGTTCTTCTTCTCATGGGTGGCTCAGGGTTTGATCGTCATCGTGTCATTGTTCTTTGTTTTATGAGTATTTGTACAAATAAATAAGGGCAAACTATGCGAACACCCGTCTTTGTTTTTGGTCTTACCGATTTTGATCATCGTTTTCAAATTAAAGTACGTTTAGTCCCTTACGTTATCGGTCTGTTTGACTTTAGTCTCTCAAAAGTTAACTTCCGCTAACCCATTAAAGAAAGTCCTACATGCCATTTAAAAAATAAAAAATAAAAATAAATTAAATGGAAACATAACTCCTCCTCCTCATAATATCCCAAAATTTGGCCAGTGACCGAAATAAATTAATTGAAAGTTTAGTGACCAACGTGTAAACTTGGGAAAGTTTAGAGACCAAAAATTAAATTTTTTCAAAAATAAATTTTATCCAGTAAATTAATAGTTTACCCCCAAGAATGATTTTCGTGTCACGTGGATTTTTTATTCGGAGTCTATGTTAAAAGCTATAAAACGATAAAATCCGAGAAAAATTTGGATAATCAGATCGAATCGAATATTCAAGATATTTTGAAGGATGATAAAATAAAGTTAATAATTTCATTCCATGTTTTAAATGGTGGGATTTAACATGGATCATTAGATTTAAGATTGATTTTCATGTTAAATATGGAACGTCGAATGAAAATTGGTGAAATTGTAATTTTGGAAAATTACAAGGGAAAAATTGGAAACTAATCAAATTATTGGTTCATCTTTGACATTTGGATGAAAAACAATTACCATGTGGCTTGGTAATTATCATGAGATTATAAGGGCAAAATAGTCATTTGTCACTAAAATAAAATTTTAATTCATTTTAACTTATTAAATGAAAAATGTCTTAGATATTTTTCATGGACAATTCAAGACTTCTTCATCCTTTTCTCTCAAGTGACGTGAGCTTCTCAAAGGCCTTAGAAATATTTCTTTTCAATTTTCAATCAATTTATTAGGAATTTGGATGAAAGCATGAAATTCAAAATTGTTCTACATGAAATTCTCTATCATTTGGTACCATTTGTTCATACTTTCCATTCTTGAAACCCTAATTTCTTGAATTGGATGGATGAAGGGGATGTTAGGTTTTCATTATTTAAGGTTGGATTATGATGTAGTTGATGTTGTAGAATCAAATTTATGCTTGAAAGTTTATTGGAAACCATTAGAAATGGTAATTAAAGCATTTGACCATTAGGATTTATCATGGATAGTTGAAGTTTGAATTGAAATTGATATGAGATTGATTATAGATGTTTGGAAATTATGTTTAGAAGTTGAATTCATATTTGAATCAAGTTGGAAAACAAGACCCGAGTGACCTTTGATATTCAACCATAGTGAAATAAATTGGGAAAAATTATATATACTATGGTTAGAAATGATGAATGAATGATTCTACAAGCTTTAGAATGTTGTTTGGACCATTTTGGAAGTTTGTAAAGGTTAGGGGACTAAATTGTAAAGGTTAGAAAATATGGGTTTAAAATAGAAATTGATATATTGTTTAAATTAAATGTTGAAATGTTTGAATATGATATTAGATTCTTGAATATGAGGTTAAATGGCAAGGGACCATTTTGCATATTTTGGAAATAATAGGATGAATTCTAAAAGAATTCATTTTGATAATCAAATTGTGAAATCGGAAATAGTTATGTGAATTATTTGTTGAAATGAATATTAAGAGACCTGAAGTTATATTTTGAAGTATTACGGTTGACATTGATTTTATGGAATGAAATTAATATCGAATAAGTATCAAAAGAATTTTTAGGAATTTATTTCTTATTGTGCATCCAGGATCCAGAAATTTAAGAATGGGGGCTCAAAATTTTAATTTTCTTTTCTTAAAAATAATGGGTATGCAAAAATTTTAATTTTTTTCTTTTTTCCTTAACATATTAAGCTAAATTTAACCACTTTTCGAAAATAATGGAGATGCACTTGGCCCCGATGGGGGCTTAGTGCATCCACCACTGTGTGCGGCTATGTTAGTAAGATACTAACATGTGCTTTGAAATGTATGCACTCTGTTAATGATGTTCGCATAGATCGTGATCAAAATCGAGATCAAAGAAAACTTAAAAATAAGGAAAAAGTGCAAGAGCAAGGCTTATATCGATATTAAAGGTTTGCTAGTTAGGCATATCAGGTGAGTGTATTCTATATGTATGATACGAGGAAGACTTGCGATGAGTCAACTTTGAATAATTTGGAAAGAAAAATATTTTGAATCGTATTATAATATTTTGATATATACGTATCTATGGATACTTTTGATAAATGAATAATTTCTAATTTTGATATAAGTATCGATGTAGATATTTTTATATATTTTTATATTTGTTTTAATAAATGATATTTGAATAATTTTGGGTCTGAATTGCTCAATTTATTGTTTTATGATATTTGATATATGTGTATCTATGAATATTTATGTTAATTGAAAAATATATGATTTTTATAAAAAGCTCATTGTATGTGAATTGAGTGTCATTGGTACAATTGACATGCCATGAGGTGGAGTGATTATCACTTATTCAAGTGATTTTCTGTATAGTGATGTTGTGTTTTACAGTACCTATGCATCTGTCTGGCACTAAAAGTGCATATTTTTTACGTGGTAGTTAAACTACATATTGCGCACACTCGTCTGACTCACATACAATGTATTCTAATATGATATACATTGTGTTATGGTTTAAATGAAAGGAAACTGATAAGTGCAGGAAATTGATTCAATTGAAAGTAAATATTTCCATTGAATACACTCGATAAACTTTACGATATTATTAATACTAAAACAAAACATGAGTACAAACACCACACAAATACTACACTAGGTGTTGCTAAATTACAAGTGTCATAACCATCTTTCGGGTGAGCCCGAAATTGGGCTTCAACTTAAATAAAACACGTTAGAGCCGCCACCGATCATTTTTAAAAATTAGGTTGATCGGACACCTTAATTTACCATCTTACCTGATATGAGTTTTACCAAAAATATGTCGGATTCGGGAGTCGGTTATAGTCAAGGAAGGATTAGTACCCTTGCACTGCCCTTTCGGTACCATTTTAATTTCTCGGTTGTCTTAATTACGAAAATTGAAATTAAAAGATTCGATTCGAATTAATTACCTTTGATCGATTGAAATTACCTCTAGAAAAGTCAAAATATGTTAGATTGTAAAATAAAAATATTAAGTAAATAAAGGAGAAGAACAAAAAGGGTTAAATTAAGAAAATAAGGGGAAAAAAGTTTTAAAAAAGAAAAAACATTAAATAAAATAAATAAAATACAAAATATTACATATTTAAAAGAGAAGGGAAAAAAGAAAAAAAATAAAAAAAAGAAAATTTTAAGAGAAGAAAAAAAAAAGAAAAATGCTAAAAGAGAAAATATATAAAAAATGCTTTTGGAAAAAATAAAAAAAAGTTAAAATTTTAAAAAATATATAAAAAAAATTAAAAGAATCAAATTAAAATAAATTGAAATTTATGGATTGAATTAATACTAAAAATGAGCTGCAAGGGAAAAACAAAAGTTAGAGGACTATATCATGAAATATAATGAAGGATTAAATTTAATTAATTGAAAAATCAGAGACAAAATTGCAATAGGTGACCAAAATGAATTACACATCAAAAGTATAGGGACTGTGGAAATAATTTAAAAATCTCCTAGTTACAACTTAATTCCTCGGTTGTAAATACCCCTAAAACCAAGAAAAATAATATTTTCAGCCCATTTTAAAAAAACTCTCTCAACCCTCAAACACTCACCCCTCTCCTCAACTGGCCCCAGTGGCTACCGACCGCAGCTTCGTCCACCACCACCGATGGCCGAAAAAAATAAAAAATACCTCCAAAAATTCCTCTCATCCCCACAACCTTAAAATTGAGACCCGATTTTCCTAAAAGGCTCCTCATTGGCGGAGATCTAAAGCCAAAGATCCGATTTTTTACCTTAGATCCGATGTCTCCTCGAATTCCTGGTGGCTTTCCTTTCACGACAAGATCCCCCAACGCGCTCTCGTTCATCGAAATACAATCTTTGGCCTTGCTTTTTTACTTTCGATTTATGAATGTTTTTTCTCTTTCGGATTTGTTGCCTCAGATATTTTTGCGTTTGTGGTTGTTTTGATTGTTTTCTTTTTTGTGTTGTGCTTGTGGTTCTTTGTTGCTTGGTTGGTATTCTGATTTTTTGGTGATCTTTTCGGTATCCTTCGATCTCTCCCTGACTAGGCTTTTATAGCATTCGATCGACCGTTTGGGTCCCGATGATCTCAAAGTCATCCTCGATCTTTTTGGGTTGTTTCTCGACCCATTCACATTCTGTTGAGGTTGTCGTCGGGCCAGAAATCCCGGGATGGTTCAGTCCCAGGCTTTCGGCCAACTCGTTGGTGCGTGGCCCCTACGCGTGTGTCTGCTTTCTTCTCTTGCGACGCCCCTGATTAAATGTTAAACCCTAGTTCTTTTGGATGGGTAAAGCCCCCTCAATCGGGTTTGTTGGGTCAGGCTTACCCGATTGGGCTCCCTGCTGGACCTCTGCTGGACTTATTGGACCTAAAAAATAAAAATAAAATAAAAATAAAAATAAAAAAAATAAAAATAAAGAGATAAAGAAATAAAATAAACAGATAAATAAAAAAAAGAAATAAATATACTATAAAATACTTTTTAAAACTAATATTATATATTTCGAAAAACGTTTTCAAAACTTATATATTATATATATTTGCAAACATGTTTTCTAAACTATATATTATATATATATTTCGAAAACGTTTTAAAACTATATATTACATATATTCAAAAAAATATTTTCAAAACTATATATTATATATATATTTTCAAAAATGTTTTCAAAACTATATATTATATATATTTTCAATAATGTTTTCCAAACTATATATTATATATGTTTTCAAAAATGTTTTTAAAACTATATATTATATATATTTTCAAAAAACGTTTTAAAACTATATATTATATATATTTTCGAAAATGTTTTCAAAACTATATATTATATATATTTTCAAAAATATTTTCAAAACTATATATTATTTATACTTTCGGAAAAAATGCTTT